CTCGTTTGTACTTAAGGCCTAGTGCCTTCTTTCCTAATCAATCAGTTGAGCTCCATTATTATCACCCTCTCCCCTTCCCTTCCCCCTCCGCCCCCCCTTCCGCCTCCCCCTCACCCTCCCCTTCCCCCTCTCTCCCGTCGGCGGAACTGGCAGTGGCGGCGCTGGTGGCGCTGACGGGGTGGAATGCGACGGCGGAGCTGTGCTCCCAGTGGACAGCGACAGGCGGCATCACGTGCGACGACACAGGCATGGTCACCACCATGTGAGACACACGCTGGCTTCAGGGCTGTATATGCTGCTGCTGGGTCTAGCAGACTCTGACTGTGTGTGCATGCATGTGCACGTGCGTGCACGTGTGTGCACGTGTGTGCATGCGTGTGTACGTGTAAGCATGTGTGTGCACATGTGTGCATGTGTGCAGCAACATAACTCAAGTCATTCTCCTTCTTCGTCATCCCATGCTCCATGCCATTGTGCTGCGCGCTCTGCTACCCCATCTTTGATTCTCTGTGCTGCAGAGAGCTGCAAGACCTCATCTCTGCACACACCCTCACCCCACCTGGACGCCTGCCCGCTGACATCGCTGCCTTCACCGCCCTCCAAGTCCTGTCACTCCCTCCTTTTGCTCGCCGTTGTTGCGTAACAGCTCCCTTCCCCATTCTCCCCGCCCTCCTCCACCCAACCTTTCCATATATTTGAAACACACCCTTCGCTCTTTTTTCCATTGGCTCACGCTCACTCACCTTTATCGGACCATCCACCCCACTACGATTGCCCCCTCAGCTATCTCCTCTTCTTTCTTCCCTGCAACCCACCTCGCCAGGAAGCTAGCCAGCCAGAACCTCTCAGGCCCCATTCCCACGGACGCATTCCGCAGCCTCACCGCTCTCCAAGAACTGTGAGCTGCGCCCATGCTGTTCCATACTAGATTCTCACCTCGCATGTTCCATCCTCTTGCTCGTGTTTCAAGTATTTGATTTAAATATATACAAATGTGTGTGTGTGTGTGTGTGTGTGTGTGTGTGTGTGTGTGTGTGTGTGTGTGTTTGTTTGTGTGTGTATGTGTGTGTGTGTGTATGTGTGCGTGTGTGTATGTATATATGTATATACTCTTTCGTTGTCAAGAACTTCCAATCTCAAGACCTCGTGCTCCCTTCCTCTCGCTCCCACATCATGTGACCGATGGTTCTCATGCTAATAAACCTCCTCCTCATCTCCCATCGCCCCTCTGCACCGTCCTCGCCCCACTGCCCTGCAGCGATCTCTCCTCCAACCCTTTGAACGGCACCATGGAGTTTCTTGCCTACCTGCCCGCCTTGCAATACATGTATGCCCCCTTTGATATGATAACTGTCAAGATTGCACGGCTGTTCATTCCTCCCTCCCACACATGTCGGCGCTAAATCGCTTTTATTGTCTTTACATACACTTAGTCTCACGCCTACACACTCAACCCCCCTTTTTTCCTCACCACACACGGCAGTGATCTCTAGGGCACTAGTCTGAGTGGGGAGATCCCAGCCGCCCTCGGTAATGCCACCGCCCTCTCATACCTGTGAGTCACGGCCTTCCCTCACTGCAATCCCTTTTCTCCCTCAGCGTACATGTGTCAGCAACAGGGGTGGTGTGTGAAAGGCGTGACAAGAGGTATGCATTCATTTTAGAGAGTGGGTTGTATATCGCCTGGACTAGGCAGCGTTTGAGAGTGTGCATTCATTTTAGAGAGTGGTTGAGAGCCACGTGCACTGGTGTGCCCCTCCCTCCCGCCCGTTGCGCTCACTCCTTTTGCTTGTTCCTTGGCCACTCCTTAGTGTAGTGTGTGCTCTATCGCCGCACTATTCCCTCCAATTCGTCTTGCTACTCAGCGGTCGCTTTCACTACGGTTCTCCTTTCTTCACGTTTCCTCCCCTCACTTTTCTTTTTCTCATCTCCTTTCTTAATTCTCTTCTCATCTCCTTCCCTTTCTTCTCCTCTCTTCTCCTTTACTCCCCTCTCCTCTCCCCTGTTCTCCTCTCCGCTCTCTGGTCTCTCCTCTCTTTCCTCCTCCTCTCTCCCCCCACCCACTAGCTCCCCAATCCCCTTTTGATTACTGTCAAGAGTGCACGGCTGTTCACTCCTCCCACACATGACAGCGGTGAATCGCTTTTATTGTCTTCACATACACTTAGTCTCACGCCTATGCAATCAACCCCCCTTCTGTCCTTGCCACACACGGCAGTAATCTCCAGGGCACTAGTCTGAGTGGGGAGATCCCCGCCGCTCTTGGTAATGCCACCGCCCTCTCATACCTGTGAGTCACGGCCTTTCCTCACTGCAATCCCCTCTCTCCCCCTGGAGCGTACATGTGTCAGCAACAGGAGTGGTGTGTGAAAGGCATGACAGGAGGTGTGCATTCATTTTAGAGAGTGCGTTGTATATCACCCTGACTAGGCAATGTTTGAGAGTGTGCATTCATTTTAGAGAGTTGTTGCGAGCCACGTGCACTGGTGTGCCCCTCCCTCCTGCCCATTTGCGCTCACTCCTTTCGCTTGTTCCTTGGCCGTTCCTCAGTGTAGTGTGTGCTCTGTCGCCGCACTATTCCCTCCAATTTGCCTCGCTACTCAGCGGTCACTTTCACTATGGTCCTCCTGTCTTCACGTTTCCTCCCCTCCCTACTTCTTTCTCTCTTAATTCTCCTCTCATCTCCTTCCCTTTCTTCTCCTCTCTTCTCTTTTACTCCCCTCTCCTCTCCCCTGTTCTCCTCTCCGCTCTTTGGTCTCTTCTCTCTTTCCTCTCCTCTCTTCCCCGACCAGCTCCCTCGCGTTCAACTACCTCACTGCAGGGGAGCTCCCTGACTCTCTCTCCACCCTCACTAGACTCGCCCACCTGTACGTACAGGCCAGCGCGGCTTGCTGGGGCCATCTCTGCTTCCCGCTCTGCTATGCCTCGCCCTCTCTGTGCTTGCTGCATTGCACCAAGTAGGGTGTAACGCATTGCATGCAAATTCTCCCCAGTGATTAGGTTAGAGAAGCTCACATTGCTTGTGCGTACAAGCAACGTAACCAACCACGTCCTTTCCTGCCCTCCCCCATCAAGCAGTGACCTGAGCTATCTCAAGTTCACCAGCATGCCATCGTGGATCGGACAACTTCCCCAGCAGCAGTTCCTGTAATAACTACCACCAACCCTCCTCTTTCCCCCCGTTTCTTCTTTTCTTTTCACCAGCATTGTTTCTCAGTTGTGACTCTCACGTTGCTCTAGGCCTAGCAATGCTCTCACATTGTCGACCCCTTGTTGCACTTATGGTCTGCAACACCCACCCACCATGCTCTCTGCACACCGGCCACCGTGCTATTTCCACACCACCCACTATGTTCTCTCCTCACCTCACCACCCGCCTTACCCACTCTCCTCTCTGCAGGGATGTGACAGCACCCGATGGCCTCACCCCCGCCCGCTCCTCGCCATTTCCAGCAGACTGGATGGCTCTCACCGGCCTGAAGTCCTTGTGAGCTGCCACCTGTCTGTGTGCCTGTTGCTCACATGTCGCTCTGCCTGCTGCTCGCATGTCACTCTGCCTGCGGCCCACGATTCACCTTGTAATGTGTGTTGAGGCAAGGCAAGGCCACAGACTGCCAGCAGCAGCTAGCAGCACAGCAGCAGCAGGCTCAGGTAGCGGGTCGACCCGCGTCACGAGACGAGGATTGGGCATTGTATCTAGCTCATTTGAACGAGCCTGTTTGGCAGCCCTTTCACCTGTGTGTGTCCCATATGATTCTGATTTCCAGCTCCCCCACTAATTCATAACTCCTGGTTCTCTGCTCTGCTCTCTGGACACCCCACCCCACTCTCCCCCCCATCGCAAGATGGCATCGGGTAACGGCTTCTCGGGCTCCCTCCTCGCCACCATCTTAGCCCTCACCGCTCTCTTAGAGCTGTACGCCTCGGCCACGCCTCTCATGACTGCTCGAGCACCTTCTCATCATCACCACACTCGCTCACGCCTTACCCTTACTATGTCGCACATTCGTAGCAACAGTGCCGTTGTGCCTTGTATTCTGTAACTTGAACCGTGTAGCATCTCTCCCTTGCTCTCTGTGCTGTGCGTCTGCTGCCTGCCTGACTGCCTGCCTGCCTGCCTCTCTTCCTGCTGCCTGCCTTCGTGCCTCCTGCCTACCTGCCTGCCTGCCTGCAGGGTGCTCTATAATAACTCCCTGGTTGGCTCCTTGCCTGTGCTGCCCTCGTCTCTAGTTTCCCTGTGAGTAAACCAAGAGGAGAGGTCGGCTGGGAAGAAGAGGAGAGGCATGTGGATACTGGGCGATAGGGACTGCGCTCCTGGGCTCCCTCCATGCCTGCTTGTCTTGGCCGTAAATGTAAACCTTCCTGCTGGTGAATCCCTGAATCTGCTGCTGCCTGTGCTCTGTGGCATCCTTCCACACTTGTCCATTCGATCCAAACACTGCATGCATCCTGCATGCTGCCGTCACAGCGGGCACGTGCATACACGAGTTCCTTCCCAGTTCGTTCGCATGGACGTCCCTCCCTCCCCAATAACCCATCTGCTGCTGTGCGCCCTTGCGTTGTGTTGCCCCCCATCGGCCCCGTTGGTGCGGTCAGCGTGCTGAGTCACAACGACCTGGAAGGCCCCTTCTCCGCCCCTCTTGCCTCCCTGCCACTCATGGAGGAGATGTGAGTGCCGCTTGTGGCATGTGACATGCATGGGCATGGGAGGCATGGGAGGCATGGGAGGCAACGAAATTAGCCCACAGGCATCTGAGCCACTCCATCCCTCCCGTCCGACAGGCAGATGAGCCACAACCGTTTCACATGGCCCATCCCAGCGTCATTCTCAGGCCTTGCTGGCCTCATCGTTGTGTGAGTCCCTTCAACTCACCTGGAATCTCCATCTCCCACCTCCATCTCCCACCTCCATCTCCCACCTCCATCTCCCACCTCCATTTCCCACCTTCGTGCCACCTCCATTCCCAGCCGTCAAGTTATGGCTGTGCGTATCTTGCATCATGAAGTGTGGGTTGGTCGGATCGGATGCACCGCCCAACACCCCCAAATACCCGCCATATCCAACTTACTTCCACACGTACACCTCCCTCCCACACGCTTATATCTTGGCTTCTTCTTTCGTCTCCCCTCTCCTCTCCCCTTGTCCTCTCCCCCCCTTCTCTCCCCCCTTTCTCTCCCCCCCTTCTCTCCCCCCCTTCTCTCCCCCCCTTCTCTCCCCACCTTCTCTCCCCCCCTTCTCCCCCCCCCTTCTCTCCCCCCCTTCTCTCCCCCCCTTCTCTCCCCCCCTCCACAATCTCCCAAGGCAGGAATGTGAGCTACAACGATCTGTCAGGGCCCATCTCACCATCCTTTGCAAACCTTCCTGTGATCGGTGATGTGATGTGTAAGCCCCATCCCGTGCATTCCATTCCACCCATGCCATGCCACCTCCGCCTCCCACCTTCCTCTCCCACCTCCATCGCAAATGTGTAAGTCTGTGCAGAGCAGCTTATACCTTCCACGTCCATGCCTCACCCCTACCATGCACCCATGCCCCGTTGCCGCCACAGGGATATCAGCCACAACCCCCTGTCTGGCGCTGGCCTGGACGTGCTTGCACGCATGACCCAAATCACCACCCTGTCAGCACCACGCTGCATGGCGTTGCATTGCGCCCCGTTGCGTTGCGTTGTGTCCCGCCTGCAAGTGTGATTCAAGCATCCTCCTTGCCTTGTGCCGTGCCGTGCCACTTGCCTCGTGCTCTGCTCTACTACTCTGTCTCCGTTACTGCTCGGCCTTGCCATTTCCTTTTGTTCCTGCGTGCGCTGTCCGTGTGAGGAGGGGCATCAGGGAGCCCCACCCCAGCAAACGTCCCCCCCTCACCCTCCTCGCTGCCACACTACCTGTGTTGACCCCTCTCCCATGCCCTACCTGCCCTGCCCCGCCCTGCCCTGCCCTGCGCTGCCCTGCCCTGACCGCCCCACAGCTACATCGGGTTGTGCAACTTCTCAGGCGCCTTCCCTTCTTCCCTCGCACGCCTCGCCTACGAACTGCATGCCACGTCTCCTCCCCTCCCCACCCCACGTCACTTTGATGCTTTTCCCACACTCTTCTCCATCACTTTGCTCCCTCACTCTGGTCCCACAGTGCACACCACACACTCACATTCACATCCACTCCACCTTCCTCCTTCCCCCCCAACTCCTCTCCTCTCTCCCTCTCCATGCAGCTTACCCATCTTGCCCTCTCTACCCTCCCTTCCCATCCTCTTCCTTACCCTTCCTGCCCTCCCCTCCCTACCCGTCCTCCTGCCTGACCCCCCTGCCCTCCCTCCGCCCTCCCCTGCCTGCCCTCTCTCTCCTCCCTACCCTCCTTCACCTCCCTACTCCCCCTCCCTTTCCTGCGCCCTCCTCTCTGCAGCGACATATCCAACAACAGCTTCACGGGGCCCTTCCCCTCCGCCATGCTATCTGCACCACGCTAGAGCCTCCTGTGCACACACACGCATGCCTGCCTCTGCTGCATGCTCTCTCACTTCTAAGAGCTCTCCTGCGCGCTCATCGCAACCTCGCATCCTTGCACGTGCTCATCGCAGGCTGTGTCACGCACAATTGTGGGGCTTGCACACCATGCAGCCTCACTCTAGTCTCTAGCACTCTCCCATCACACATGCCTCTCCCATCTTGTTTTCAAATCTCAGTTTTTGAGGTGTTTCTTATTTTTTCTTGCTTTTCTTAATTCTTTTGAAGCTCCAATGTCTCAATCCAGAAAGAGTCATCTTCGATACTCTAAAGTGCGTTCGGCTAGAAGCAACGGTTGCATGTGATCCACTCAAACCGCCTGTGCTGCCTCCTCTCCTCGCAGCAATCTATCGGCCAACAACTTCTCGGGCCCGCTGCCCCCACAGCTCACAACGCTCACAACAGTCAACAGCTTGTGAGCCTTCCGTTCTGTTCAATGCCTTCGAGATGCCTCCTGCTTGCGTGCATGCATGCCTTTGACTCAGAGTTTTGGCCATCTTGTTTTTTACGTATTCTATGCTGACAGTGCTGGTTTAAAGCCCCCTCTCCCTCCCCCTCCTCCTCCACCCCAACAAACCCCCAACCCCCACCCCCCCCGACCTCTCCCAACGCATCTCTACCCCAGCAGTGACATCTCTCACAATCAGTTCACTGGAGTTGTGTCTCCTGCCGTCTTCACCCTGCCTTCGCTAATGTCCTTGTAAGCCCACTCACTTCCACCCTCGCCGTGCATCCCTTGCTGCTGCCGTGCATCCCTTGCTGCTGCCATGCATCCCTTGCTGATGCTGTGCATCCCTTGCTGCTGCCGTGCATCCCTTGCTGCTGCCGTGCATCCCCTGCTGCTGCCATGTGTGCTTGCTTCACCCCCCTCCCACCAACCCCCCCCTCCACTCCTCGCCCCAGCTCCCTCGCTCACAACCAGCTTGAGGGCTCCCTGCCTGCAACCAACCTGTCCAAATACCTCATCTCTTTTGTAAGCACACATGCCAGGACTAGACAAGCCTGAATGCCTTGTGGGGGTGGGCTTCACTTGACCAAGTGGAGCAAAGCAGAGTGCCCCACGCGCTCTTGCCTCTCTCCTCTGCCTCCTTACCGTCTTTTGTATTTCATGCTTCTGGTTCTGCATGCCCCTATCTTTCTTGAGAGTACGGTCAGTTGTTATAACCTCACGTTCCACCCACCCAAGCATGGTTCGTGTCTGTTCAAACTCCATTTTGCCACAACGCAAACACCACCCACCCAAGCAAACGCATCCCCGCCGCCACTCTCCCCTCCCCTCCCACCGTCGCTCCCCTAACCAGCGACATCAGCAACAACAACTTCAGCCGGCCTCTGCCGGAATCCATGACCAGCCTCATCTTCCTGAAGTCCCTGTAATGAACCAGGCAGGGGGGGTGAGGAAGGAGGCTTGGCTTGGGAAGGGCGATACATTCACGTGCTATCCATAACCTTGTGCAACTCTGTGGGGTACACGGCTTGCAGGCACTGTGACGCGTCGAGCTAGCTGAAGTACTCATGTGTGGGTCGCTTGGCTTTGCATGGGATGATGTGCAATGGCATAGCATGGCATGGTGTAATACTGACTGGCATGGCATGTGATGGCATGAAATGAAATGGTAGGGGCCTTGGAGGAAACAACTTGACTGGTCCCATATCTCCTGTCTTTGGCGACGTGGACAACCTTTATTCCTTGTGAGTCCCGCACCCATGCTCCCATGCACCCATGCTCCCATGCACCCATGCTCCCATGCATGCATGCTCCCAGGCACCCATGCTCTCATGCACCCATGCACCCATGCTCCCATGCACGCATGCACCCATGCACCCATGCACACATGGATTCACCTATGCACCCATGCTCCCATGCTCCCATGCACCCATGCTCCCATGCTCCCATGCACCCATGCTCCCATGCACCCATGCTCCCATGCTCCCATGCACACATGTACCCATGCACCCATGCACACATGGATGCACCTATGCATCCATGCTCCCATCCTCCCATGCTCCCATGCACCCATGCTCCCATGCTCCCATGCACCCATGCTCCCATGCTCCCATGCTCCCATGCACCCATGCTCCCATGCACCCATGCTTCCATGCTCCCATGCACACATGCACTCATGCACCCATGCACACATGGATGCACCTATTCATCCATGCTCCCATGCTCCCATGCACCCATGCTCCCATGCTCCCATGCTCCCATGCACCCCATGCTCCCATGCTCCCATGCTCCCATGCTCCCATGCACCCATGCTCCCATGCTCCCATGCTCCCATGCTCCCATGCACCCATGCTCCCATGCTCCCATGCACACATGCACCCATGCACCCATGGATGCACCTATGCATCCATGCTCCCATGCTCCCATGCACCCATGCTCCCATGCACCCATGCTCCCATGCACCCATGCTCCCATGCACTCATGCTCCCATGCTCCCATGCACACATGCACCCATGCACACATGGATGCACCTATGCATCCATGCTCCCATGCTCCCATGCCTCCATGCATCTCTAGTGCAGGTGGCACATCACCCATCTTTAATACTACAGCCAGATCTGTGCTGCTTAAAGCCACGCCACTCTCCCCACATATTGGACAATTTTCAGTGCATGAGCACGTTGCACCGGCCACGCCTCCTCTTCCCTACCTTAACCTCTTGCGCCTCACTTATCTGCATCCGTTTTGCCCTCTTCTCCCCTCTCCACTGGTCTCCTCACCTCTCTGGCCCCCTACATTCTCCACTTCCCCCCCTTCCCCCCCACACCCCCAACAACACCTCTGGCTCGGGGCTGACCTGCCCGGCAGACGGCAGCAAGTGTGTGGTGCCGCAGAGCAACGCCTCCTCCTTCTGCCGCCTCTGCTACTCCTTCTGCTCCTCCTGCACGCCCCTCAAATGTATGTGGCTGTGCCTTGGTGCATGTGGGTGCTTGCTTGCTTGCTTGCACCCACATACTGTGCAATATTGAATATGTGGAGTTCATGGGTGTGTCAATATGACATGCATGATCCAGGGATGTGTATGCAGCTTATGTGTGCTGGTAGTAGAGCAACTATCTATCACTGCATGCGCTTTGTCCCATGCTCCAGGGGCAGCACTTATAGCAGCTCCAGCACCTGAAGCAGCACCGGCATCGACCGCAGCACTGGCATCAACTGCAGCACCGGCATCAACTGCAGCACCGGCATCACCAGTGCCTCAGCCACCATCTGCTTCCACCCAGACTCCTATTGTGCCTCTTCCCCCCAAACCTGTTTCCCACCTTTCCACACCCACAATTGCTGCTTTCAGCCTCTTTGCTGCTGCTGCCCTATCTCTCCTTGCATTTTCTATTTGAGAAGAAGCTTCTGCGCATCATCTTCATCTCTCTTTATGTTTTAGCTATAAGTGGCCTGGTGATGGTTTGTTATGACTACCAGAATCCTATACAATTTCCAAACATTCCCGCTACACCGGGACATGAGCAACACCATGGGAGTGGAGTGGAGCGGAACTCAAATTGAAAACTGTTCTTACATCATCAACGCAACTTCTAGATTTAGCCATAAAGGGAATGTACCCCTTCAAAGTACATGGCTAGCTAGTTATTGTTACGATATGAAATTCAATGAGAAGCATTCCTGTCTGTTGCAGGAGGTGACTCTACCGAGTAGGAGTCGAGGATTCAGAAAAGTCGAAGCGACACAAGCAACCGTCTGACCAGGACCGCTGCAGGCAGAAACATTTGCAATGAAAAGAGCGGTAGCATGCTTGAAACGGGTTCCCGCGTCGCACGGTTTGAATTCGCTGTAATAAGGGAATGTACCCCATAGAGTACATGGCTAGTCTAGGTCGTTTCGTATTCCTTCGTATCTCCTATGTAAACTCGATGTATATATGATATTATCATCCTAGTCATTTACATCACTCTGACCTGGCGTCAACACTTCCACTGCAACAAGAACCTACGATCAACCTTGAGACTATCCTTTGCTAAAACCTGTTCAGGATTGTAACAGTTATGACCTCTAATATGTGTGAGGGCGCGAATGTCCGCCCTCAGGAGTTACCACGTGGCATCACTCTCGCCACTCGACAGTATAAAGTAAGAGCGTGTTCTTACACCTCGTATCAAAAGAACCTCGTATCATGCTCACACTGAAAATTGCCCTAAAGCCGAAAGCTCTCTGTAGTTTTACTAAACAAAAAGTGTGAGAATTGAGGAATAAATGAACTAGCAAGCAGGTGGGTACAAGTAGGAAAAACCAAAAGTGTTGTCCCCCATATTGTCTACCCTACAACAGCCTACACAAACTATAGCATATAAGTTTGACACATCCCCATAAGCAAAGTGGGTGAGAACAAGAGGTCACAAGACCAGTCAAGCAAAGCAAAGCAAGCTCAGGGTGGATCACAACGTCACCACACATTCCGAGCACAAGTTCAAGGCCAGAAGACCAATTCACATGCAAGATCATATATAAAGGTAAACAAGCAAGTGTAGGTATAGAAAGATCACAGTACAAGCAAGGTCAAGAACTGAGCAAGTGTGGCCAAGTAGGCACAAGACCTAGCATGGTACAGCAGCGCTGATGATCACAAGGCGGAAGTGCTTTGGTAAAGATATCAGCACTCTTGGCCTCAGAGGCCTCATAAGCAAGGCGCAGCTGACCACGCTGCTGCAGCTCACGAGCAAGGAAGTAGCGAAGAGCAATGTGCTTCGTTCTGTGCTCAAGTTTGTGCTCCCGACATAAAGCGAACGAGGCGGCACTCCTAGGTCAATCAGCAGGTAGGTGAGCCAGCGTAGCTCATGTGTAGCCATGGCCCCCACGTAGATCTCAGCCTCACAGCTGAAGTCGAGAACAGAAGACGAGCGGGTAGACCGCCACGAAACAGAGCTGGAACCAAGGCTGAAGGTGTAACCCTGTGACGACCGCTGCGTAGCCTGGTCATCAGCCCAAGAAGCATCTGCGTGACCTGTGAGGACCACTGGATGTCGCCCTCCAAGCACTAGCCCCATGCTCGACGTACTGCACAAGTAGCGCAACATCCTCTTCGCTGCAGCCATGTGCTCTGGTTGGTGTATGCCAGGAGCAACATAGCGTGCCAAGATGCTAAGAGGGTATGCAAGGTCAGCTCGTGTGCAGGTCATCGGGTACATGAGGCAGCCAACAAGCTCTGGGTACGGGCCACTCGGCTCTATGGACTCATCCGAACGCAGAGCTGAGAGGGAGTGGTGAGTAGACAGAGGAGTGATCTAAGGCGAGGAGTACGTGAAGTTGAAGCGCTGAAGGACCTGCTGCACCATGTGTGACTAAGTCAGGGTAATGGTGCGCTGTGCTCTGTCCCGGGTGATCTGCAAGCCAAGGTAGCTACGCAGTTCACCCAAGTTTGTGCACATGTGTCTCTTCTGCAGCTCTGACTCCACGTGGGCGAGTCCAGCAGTGTCAGCAGTGGCAAAGACCAAGTCGTCGACGTAGACGAGGATGTAGAACGGCGACAAAGAGGTGTCGGTGCGCAGAAACAGCGACGGGTCGGTAGTAGAAGGAGCAAACCCAAGAACCGGAAGTGTACTCCTCAATGTGTCGTGCCACTCACGGGGCGCCTGGCGGAGACCGTAGACTGGCCGCTGGAGGCTCCACTGGGTACAAGGGGGAAACGACCCTGTGAAGCCAGGTGGGCGGCGCAGCCAGATCTTCTCGTGCA